GGCAGTGTACGGGTATGTTTGATGTGCTGTCTCAAAGTGAAATCAAAAGAAAACTTGAGTGAGACATTGATTAAAGTAATTATCCAAACATTGTTTCTTATGGGTTTCCCACCCACTACTTTTACCTCAGATATAGTTCAGAGGCTTCTGGTCTACATATGTATGAAACTACAGTCTTGTGAAAATTGTGAGTACGTCATTTAGCTAGGCTTCACTTTTTCTCTATCTCTCTTCTAGATAGTATGTACTGGGTAAGGAGATATTACTCACCTCGAATGCTGCTTCTGGATGTCAGGATGATCTTGAATGTCCTGAAATTTCCCTTTACCTTCCAAATCAAACAAGGATGTATAACTTAGGAAACGCTTTATTTTCTCATCAGAGATTTCATTTGATCCACTGGTTTCAGTCTGAACACAGTTATCTATAAAAATGGATAATACAATAAAGTTTGTGGAAAAGGGAAGAAAAAAGGTCATTTTGGATTCATTTTCATATACTGAGGCAGAATGCTAAACAACTTTTTCAATTAATGCGGAACAGGTAAGCAAAGGAAGACTGGGGGCTTTGCCAAAAATAGGTGTGGGAAAGGATCAAAATGGCAGTCCATTCACTAAGAAGTCCGCTGCTGTAGAACTGACCCCATTTTGGTATAGAACGGTGATCCATATGGTGGCTAAAGGCTGCTTTTTAAACTAAACATCTTATTGTGAATCACACAAAGTTTTATCAAACAGATCATCAGTTTGACATTTGAAAATTCATATATATTTTGTTTCATCTCATCACAACCCCGATAATGAAACTTCACAAGGAATCTTTGAGTGTTTTCAATACTCCTACTTTTCTAACCCTTCTGAACTTTGTCTTTAGGTAAATACTGTTCATTGATCTTAAATGGGTGGCTCTTCTATAGTGTGTGTACCTCACTAGTATTGTTGGGTTTTTCTTTACCAACCTCCAATTTGGATAAATATTGAACCATGCAAGCAAGTTCAGTTCCAGGCAGGAAGAGTGACAAAGGGCCAAAGTCTTGGGGATGTTAGCTCAGCAGTCTCTAACTCACAAGTCTGGCCTCTACGATTTTGAGTTTGTTTTACACTTTCTCATTCTATGCACGACATTACTAGTAGGTGTGCAATATGTTCTGGCCTCAGGGTTGTGGCCACTGATGCTTGCCTGATGCACTATACCAATTGTTTCCATGTATCTTTGTATTTCCCATCTATCTTTGGATTGGAGAGACCAAACATTGCACCTTATGTGACTGCTCACAAATGTTTAGACTTTAGTTACTGTTCACCACTGTCCTGATGAACTGTGTTGTTGCAAGTGACTTTGGAGTCCCTTGAGATTGTGGTCCTCAGACCTGAAAAAATGCTTGCTCTTTTAAGAAATAGAGTACCAAGATGTTCTTCGAAGGCTCTAACCCTCCAGTCCTTTAGAACCTAAGAACATTAGCAGTTTGCACCACCCACAGATGCCATCTACTAAGATATATTTCCTAAAGGATGGACTCTGTTGCTTATATAAATAGGATATTATCATAAAAGAATTTTCAGGAGGAATAGAGCAACTGACATGGCCAAATGCTATTTTTTTTAAAAAGGAAAGACTTCCTTTCACAAGGAAAATATGAGAATGAATGAAAAGTGAAAGGGAATAAAAAGATAAACTGCAAAGTACATTTTGCTAGATATCCTTGAGAGCCATTATCCCAAAGTTAACGTCTCCTTCTCAAAGATTAACTGATTTTTTAAATTGTATATCTAAGTATGATCACAGTATTAAAACCCTAAAGATTCTTGCCTTCCTAGAGTCACAGATGCTTCTTTCCATTGTCCCAGTGCCACTGGGAGAAGGCAGAGAATTGCACAGCTGATATGGTGTTAATGTGACAAAGATTATGCTTGGGGAGGACTGTGAAGGGCAACAAAATATTTCCAGGAGATGAACTAGCACTTTCGATCTTGGACACGAGTAGGTTTGACTGTAGCAAAAAAGGGAAAAGTCACTGTGTTCGAATTTTTTTAGCATATAACTCCCACAGGGCTCAAAGCCACAAAGCTCCTTTGTGCTCCAGAGTTGATGCCTAAGTTTATAAATTAAGGGAGCTTTTATAATCA